TGAACTAGGTTATATCAAACAGGAACCTAAAGGTAATAATGATGTTCTTGTCCAAGATTGCTGAAAATCTATTGGCTGAACTAGGTTATACCAAACAGGACTTTAAAGGTAACAATGATGTTTTTGTTCAAGATTGCTGAAAATTTATTGGTTGAACTAGGTTATATCAAACAGGAATTGCTGAAAATCTAGTGGTTGAACTAGGTTATATCAAACAGGAACCTAAAGGTAATAATGATGTTCTTGTCCAAGATTGCTGAAAATCTATTGGTTGAACTAGGTTATATCAAACAGGAACCTAAAGATAATAATGATGTTCTTGTCCAAGATTGCTGAAAATCTATTGGCTGAACTAGGTTATACCAAACAGGAACCTAAAGGTAACAATGATGTTTTTGTTCAAGATTGCTGAAAATCTATTGGCTGAACTAGGTTATATCAAACAGGAACCTAAAGATAATAATGATGTTCTTGTTAATGTAATGATGGAATCTTAAGGTGACTTGATATCACAGTGCATAGTAGGACAACCAATTTTACTCAGCATCCCTCCACAGTCAGCCTTATCCTCCTCACTTCCACACAAGGAATCAGCATAAAGTTTTCTGTTTGATGATTACATTGAAGTGAATCAGGAAGAACCTACTCTTTCTGGTGAACAATGTGTAATAATGATAGTCTCATCATACTGTCAAGAGAAGAAGCTGAAGAAGAGAAGAGGATCCACTTATGTTCTAAATGGGAAAAATCCCTTCAATATCCATTTTTATCAAACTGTCTTCTGAGATAATATTCTTTACAGTAGGACAAATTAATGTTTCTAAAGGAAATTTTGGAAGATAAAGACATGGACACAGTTTGTTTCATATCTAAAAGATAAAAGTTCAACTGTTCACACAAAAATGAGAAAATTAAATAATTAAAATCATTGTGTTTTAATTTTGCTTTTAATATCTGTTTCATATGTACACATACCATTACAGAACTATTCAAGCCATTTATTCATTATCACATATCTCCACCAAACAAAAAGGTTTGTGTTGTGAGAACTGTACTGTTCATCCTCCTGTCTGCAATACAGAGCCTTACTACACAGGTAACAAAAGGTTTGTGTTGTGAGAACTGTACTGTTCATCCTCCTGTCTGCAATACAGAGCCTTACTACACAGGTAACAAAAGGTTTGTGTTG